ATGAGGTCGCACTCATCAATGCCTAAATGAAATTCCAGGTATTCCAATTCATTTTCCTCTTTTCCTTTTCTAATGTTGGAAGGTTTCAAATAACAAAATTCAGAAGATAAACCAGTTGGAAGGTATCAAAAACACTGTCATTTAGCAGTGCTTGGTAAGTAAAAACCTGTGATCCCTTACGTTTGTCTTTGACCTATTCAAGAATTTTATGGTGAACATATGTCCCTCCACCCAAAATAAAACTGCATGCATTTATACCTTTTCAGCTAGTTCATTCAAGGAAGGACTAGATTAATAGCTGGGAACATACAAACAGAAAAGTCTATTCACCTATCAAATGTGTTCAACATCTTATTATGTAATCGCTGATCTATAAATGAACTCAAATTCATCAGCATCTGCCAATCTAAAATCAGACATTTCCATTTGAACACTAGCCTCAAAAGCTTTCAGTGTGTGTGGGTTGTGAGTTCCATAATTCTCAACAATTTTTTTCTGAAGAAGCGCGTCCTGAATGCCTTATCTCTAATTTTAAGATAACGTCTCCTTGTTCTAGATTCCCACATCAGAGAATACGGTTTCTTTCCAGATCCCCTCTCAGAAATGGACTCAGTGGCATATTGAACAATACCTAATAATGATAATAAAAATCAAAGAGCAGGACATTTCCCTTTGGGACAGGAAACACGAGACAGGAGAGTTCTTAATGTTGCAAACCTATTGTAGCGATTCAAACCAGGTTGACCTCATTGACTACAAGATCATTGATTAGGGTTGTTAACCTGGGCCAATCAAGAAAGCTCTGGCTGACCAATATAACTAAGAGATTAGAATCTCCTCAGTTCAAGCAACTGACCCCAAGCTGGCCGGCCACAGTCAATGTACCTTGCATAAGTAAATAAAGGTGACTTGGTGACACGATACTGGTATCTGTGCACTCATTTCACCTATCTCCTGCAAGGCATTTGCTACCCATTCTATTTACATGCAGGTGTAGTTCGGATGGACTGAAATCCAGGCTGCAGCTTCCAAATTGCAGTGCTGAAGATGGGAAAATCCCAAGAAGGACTTGAAAGATAGAAGGCCTGCCTCTATTCACTAAGACAACAGCTCAGTTCTGTGCTAAGCAGCCTAACCATCACCCCTCAACCTCTCATCCATAACTTGCTTAGTCCCAGTGATTTCAAAGCAACCCCTTTCCCCCTCCATAAGCACATTGACCTCTCCAAAGCACTGCTCCTATATCCTCTATGCTCCTCCACATTCCCCATATTCCCTATGCATACTCACCTACTATAGTCAGAACACATAAGCCCTACACCATCACTGGAAATCTTTGAGATCCCATAAAACTCTTCAAACAATAAAGTCTGCTAAGGAGCTCATAAATCTGTCAATCTAAACAAATCTCTTAACCCACTTGACAATGGTAGCAACAATGCCTGCTGTACTGAATTCACTAGAGGTTCAGATGTCAACCAAACATTCACAAGAAGCTTTCATCACACAACTGTGTCCACAAAACCACCAGGGTTAAACAAATTAAAGCTTTGAAGTAGTAGAATAGATGAATATCTGTTTGAAAAGTTGAAAAAGTGGCTGACCTGTCAATTAAAGAACTCAAATCATTTCTTAGAATACTTTGAAGACTAAACGGATAGCTGACCTGTTAATCCGTGAAAATATCAAAGCACAGTGTAAACTGACACAGTAAAGTATTAAATTCAATAGTGTCTAATGCAGAAGAACTAGGTAAATTAAGCTCATGAATCTGAAGGCTTTACCATTTATCACACAGGATTATGACATGCAAAGTTACAAACACCTTTCTAAATTACACATTAAAAAATTCCTGTCTCCAGAATGGGCTTCATCCATGCTTCACAACATCTCTTAGCTGGTCCAAACCATATCTCCCTCAGGAGGCTTTGAAGCCAACTCCATGAAAATTACAGGGTGTCTGAAGTCATTTTCCCTGCAATGTACCCAGTACCATTTGGATTGCTGTGTATGGATTTGTGACCCATGCCTTTAAAAATATCACACAACAGGAATATTAGCGGGGATCTCAGAACTGGGTCCCATCTCTTGCTCCCCCGGCTTTCATCTGACACACGTTTGTTCTGTGGTAGAATAGCAAAATCCAGCCCAAAGCTTACCTCCATCTTAATCTGTTTCCAAAATATTGTAACTGAATTTTGGAAAACTTTGGAAAATTGGAGACCAACCTGATGAGTGGAACAAGGAATCAAATTATAACATAATTGTCATAATACTTTATTTTCTTTTTCAGGAAGGATTGTTCCTTGATACCATGCACAGAGATTTGTCCACCTATTCCCATAACGTGCTCTAAACATAACACCTACTTTTTAAATTAATGAAAGAAAATGCCTGCCATATCATATCTAATGCCTTCTATCTTGCATGGAATTTCTTTTTCTCACTTCTCTAAATCCTCTTCTGTGAAGTTCCAAGAATATCCTGGTCAGATAGGCAAGATCATCTGTGCATGAAACTCAGTGAATATGTTTTAATTGCTTTCAACTTTAAAAGAACTAATAATGTGCAGAATTTGAACATGAAAGATGCTGAATCTGTCCTAAGTTGTGATGGGGCGGAGTTGACAACAAGAGAATTAGGCTAAAATACAGAACCACATTCACCAGTCTACACTTTTATTCTGAGTTCAGTATAAATGTTTGTTACTACACGGTTTATTATAAGGATATAAATTATTCAACGATGCACTCTATTGAGTGGGAAAATTGGCAGAAGTTTAATTTCAACTGAGGCCTCGGCATTTTACTGGCAATTTAATGTCTTCTGCCTTTCAACATTGGAAATTACTTATGTTACCAAGATTGTGTTACCAGATGCTTTTTGCTGTATATTACATTTTTGTTTGTCATTTATATAAATGATTTAGAAGAGAATATAGAAGGCATGGTTAGTAGGTTGCGGATGACACCAAAATTAGTGGTATAGTGGGTGGTGAAGAAGGTTATCAAAGAGATCTTGATCAAATGGGTCAATGGTCTGAGGAGTGGCAGATGGAGTTTAATTTGGATAAATGTGAGGTATTGCATTTTGGTAAAACAAACAAGGGACGGACTGAAACAAATGAAAGTAGGGCCTTAGTTAGGAATGTAAATCTTTGAAGTTTGTGTTACATGTAGCCAGGGCAGGCATTTATCATGCTTGCCTTCATTGCTAAGAGCTTTGAGTATAGGAATTTGGAAGTCATGTTGAATTTGTACAGGATGTTGATGAGGTCTCTTCTGGAGTACTGTGTCCAGTTCTGGTTGCCCTGCTGTAGGAAGGATTCTATTAAATTGGAGGAGGTTCAGAAAAGATTTACCAGGATGTTACCAGGAACGGAGGGTTTGAGTAATAAGGAGAGCTGGAAAAACTGGGACTTTATAACATTTAAGACATTTGGATAAGTACATGAATAAGAAATGTTTGGAGGGATATGGGCCAAGCGCAGGCAACGTAGGGCTAGTTAGTTTATTTTGGGATTATGGCCGGCATGGACTGGTTGGACCGAAGGGTCTGTTTCTGTGCTGTATGACTCTATGACAGAGACAGAAAGGAATGTAAGGTATTTTGAAAAAGGAACAAAATAAATTGTAGCCACTTTATTTATGTTGTGGATAAGTTGACGTGAACAGTTTCTTATTTCTGAAAGATTTGATTTACTGACCTAGTAAATCAAAAGTAAAGCTAAATGAAAAAAAAGTAGATCAAACAAATAGTTTCTCAGTTTCCAAATAATAACACATCTACACCTAAACTCCTTTAATAGTCTGCCGTTGATCAAAATAACCTCACACCAGAAAATAAATGGTTAAGTGTCTTTCATATTGCATTGAAATTGAAGAGCAATTTTATATCAGAAGCAGATTAAGGAATAAATTAGGAGTTTAATATTCTTTGACACAATAACCTATCTAAATGCTATTGGTTTCACTTATTACTAACATAAAAAGCTACAGCATTAAGACCTGTACAAGGCTAAACTGAGCTACAGCATTAAGGAAACAACAATCTTGTTAATTATACAGTGGTGGAAGTCACACAACAAGATATTTACAGTTTGGCACCTTGAGATACATATGAAACAAAGCAACATAATTTTTTTTGAAAGCACAACTCCCTAAAAATTCAAATAATAAAATTAAAAAGTATATGCAATCTAAGTATATGCCTTTAAATAAATCACACAACATAAAACATCATTTTACTACTTCAAGTTAATGATTAATTTCTCCTGAAATGTGAAAAATTTAAAATGTTCTACTAGAATATCAAAGTATATGATTTTTTTCATATATATATATATATGTGTGTAGAAATAATATTTCTAAGCACAGAATGACTCTGGTGATTCTGGCAATGGAATGTAGCTCAGTTGGACATTGTTTTAATATAAAGGCAGTGATTTCTTGTAAAATTTTGGTCCACTCTTGATTCATTGTACTGGAACCATTGTAAACATACCAATCTTTGAAAAAAAAGTGTGATCTTGTTTCTGTTGCATGTCCGTAAAAACTACCGTTCGTTAAAAATATGAAACAACTGTAGACTTGCTTTATTCTTCTGGATGCTTTCTTCCTCTACCATCCCCATGCCACCACCAGACACCACACCCACCCTCTCATCCCCACTCAAAGGCCTGGCTTCTAACCTGGAACACTTGGCTCCTTTACCACAGTTTGCCAGAACTGCCATGGATAGGTTTACAGGGGAAAATTATCAGCCAAAGTTAGACACTGGAAGGACATGTCCCAGTTGGCAAAGCAGTGCGTTATGGCCTGTTTTAATACTTTCATATTATAGCATTCTAATGCTGGCCAGATAGAATGCAAACATTTTCAGCCTTCTTTCAATCTAGGTTAGTCACTGAGTGAGGAACAGTCAGCAAACAACAAAGACAACTTAGCATAACTTTGTCATGAGCAGTCCAAGTGAAGGGAAGCCTTCTGGTGGAATGTTGCCTACTGCTGATGGGCAGCTTCATGCCGTATAATTTTGTATGTAATCCAGTAAAAGATGTTAAAAATGAGGAATGCTAAAGGGAAGGCAGCACGGGATATCATGTCAATTCTTTTTGCTCTGTCGACGAACTTCTTTCTGATGGCTTCTGCATCCTTGGGCTGTGGTGGTGGAGGATTTGGAGCTGCTGTTTTGACAGCTGTGCCATCTTTGACTTGAAGGCACTGACCCATCCCATATCCACTGAAGTTAAAGCGACTCTCCCGAACCAGTTCTTCATCCTATGGGAGCAAAGAGATGACAGAAGAGAGCAACTCAGAATGCAGCAGAAGCAAATCTGACAAGGCGACAACCTGATTTCGATATGTATACACAACATTTATTCCTGAGGAAGTATCTGGATAAACCATCTAATTGTATTTTTCTTTTTATTATTGCTTAGCACATTTAACCTCATGCTTGAAATTGCTTTGAGAACTTGAAATTTCACATTACATTCTGGAATCAACATTTTTTGATCTAAAAGCTATTTTCATTTTGTTAAAGTAAATAAATTACCAGCTGAGAAAACTGCAAATGATGTCAGTCCTTGAGGCAGCATCTGACATGGTAGCCTCCTATAATCTTTTCTTCAAGAATTTGAACGAACCGAACGTTTTTCTTAAATACTCTGATGGATACAGCACCGCTTAGCTTGGTACTAAGTTGCACAGAACAACTTAGACCTGGGTTCAACACTAGGCTACATTGTTTTAACAGATAGCTAGGGCATCATAACAAGTGGCAAAATTGATCTCATTATGACATTTTGGGCTATAGATGTCGGGGAACTCTTTATGCAGGTTACAAAGACAAATTCTGCAAATGATGGAAATCTGCGCTATGAACAGAAAATGTAATGTTGCGCCTGGGAGACCATGAAGTCCCTAGTCTGAAGGTGAACCACTCATCTTTGGGATTCCATTGAGCTAAGAAGCAATAGACTGGAGATCAACAGTACAGCGGTCAAAATAGGAGTGGAATGAAGTATCAAAATGACAAGCAGCTGGAAGGATCATGCTTGCAGGCCAGAGATGTTCAACAAAACAATCACCAAATATGCATTTGGTATCCCTAGTGTGGTGTTTTTGTTTATGTATTCATGGGAGGAGGACATTTCTTACTAGGCCAGCATTTACTGCTCATTTCTAATTGCCCAATGGGCAGTTAAGAGTCAACCACATTGCTGTGGGTCTGGAGTTGCATGTAGGCCATATCAGGTAAGGATGGCAGTTTCCTTTCCCAAGGGGATTAGTGAACCAGGTGGGTTTTCCGACAATGGTTTCATGGTCATCATTAGACACTTCATTCCAGATCCTTTTGTCGAATTCAAATTCCACCATGGTGAGATTTGATCCCAGGACTCCAGATCATTAGCTGAGTTTATGAATTAATAGTCTAGCAATAATATCACTAGGCCATTGCCTCCCCTACACTACAGCATGTGTATCATGTATAATACATCATGTGAAGTGAACAATATATTAAATTGAATGCAGTAGAAATAAATTTCTACTGGAACCTAGGAGGACCATTTAAACCAAAGGGACTTGGGAGTCCTAGTCCAGGATTCTCTGAAGGTAAACTTGCAGGTTGAGTTGGTAGTTAGGATGGCAAATACAATGTTGGCACTATTTTCAAGAGGACTAGAATATAGAAGTAGGGATGTACTTTTGAAGCTTTATAAAGCTCTGGTCAGACCACATTTAGATGATTGTGAGCAATTTTGGACCCCATGCCGCAGGAAAGATGTACTGATCCTGGAGCAGGTTCAGAGAAGGTTCATGAGAATGATCCCAGGAATGAAAGGCTTAACACATGAGGAATGTTTGAGAACTCTGTGTCTATATTCAATGGAGTTTAGAAGGTTGAGGGCGGATCTAATTGAGACTTACAGAATACTGAATGGCCTGGACAGAGTGGACATTGGGAAGATGTTTCCATTGGTAGGAGAGACTAGGACCTGAGGGCACAGCATTAGAATAAAGGGAAGGCCTTTTAGATCGGAGAAAAGGAGAAACTTCTTCAGCCAGAGAGTGGTGGATCTATGGAATTCACTGCCACAGAAGGCTGTGGAGGCCATGTCATCGAGTACGTTTAAGACAGAGATAGATAGGTTCTTGATTGTCAAGGGGATCAAGGGTTATGGAGACAAAGCGGGAGAATGGGGTTGAGGAACTTATCAGCCATGATTGAATGGTGGAGCAGTCTTGATGGGCCAAATAGCTTAATTTCTGCTCCGTTGTCTATGTCTTATGGTCAAATGAAGGAAACCATGAGTTGGAACTAATTTAATTCGAGTATGGTGGTGATTGACTACTTCCATGCAACCTTAACACAACATTAGTGTCCTGGGTAGAAATAATATATCTTTAAATTCATTGCTTTAACATTTGAAAAATATCAGAATGTAAAGGATTGATCCAATCTTAGTCCAGCAGAGTCAGATTCGTTCTTTACATGAGGATTTTCCGTTTTGAAAGCAATACTTTCCTGATGACATCTTGCTTCAGAATTCAGCAACTTTGCTACATGGTTCAATGTGACAAGTTGATTAATAAAAGAACGAGATGGATAAATGAATCCACAAAAAACACATTCATTCGGTGGCGCTTAGGCTAATGTGTTTTATGAGATTAAATTAAAAAAATAAATCAATTGCTTGGTTAAATTATCAAAGACATTGCCAGTCTGAATGAATGTTAAGAATGTAACTTATTTTGAGCGAAGGCCAAAAATCTTGAAGAAAAACAAAATACTGAAGATGCTGGAAATCAGAAATCGAAACAGAAAGTGCTGGAGAAACTCAGCAGGAAGGGCAGCGTCTGTGGAGGAAAAAAACAGAGTATTTTGAGTCTGGTGTGACTCTTCTTCAGAACTGAAAGAGGCTGGAAAATTGAATTTTTATCGAATTGACAGAGGGGACGGGGTAGAGTGGGTGAAACAGATGGTGAGGGTGCCCAGAGTAAAAAGCAAAGTGGGTACTAATGGTGATGAAGGAGAAATGGATATGTAAAATGGGTGTAACTGAAGGTGTGGAAAGGCAGAAAGGAGGAGAGGAAAGGATCCGCTCTGCTGAGAGCAAAGCCAACAAGATACAAATAAAATATTCCAGAGAAGGAAGGGGATGTAAGAAAAATGGAGGACACAAATTATGATGTGAAGTTGTGGAACTCGATATTGAGTACCAGAGGCTGTAAAGTATCTAAAGGGAAAATGAGGTGTTGTTCTTCCAGCTTGTTTTAAGCCTGCAGCAGGCCCAGTATGGAAATTTGAACATGGGAACAAGATAGTTTATGCAAACGGCAAGCACCTGGCAAGTATGGGTCACTCTTACATGGAGAGTGCAGCTGTGCTGCAAAGCAGTCCTCAACCCCATTCTCCCGCTTTCCCTCTGTAACCCTTGATCCCCTTGACAATCAAGAACCTATCTATCTCTGTCTTAAATGTACTCACCAATGTGAAGGAGACCACACTGTGAGCAGTGACTAGATCGAAAGAAATACAACTAAATGCTGCTTTACCTTGAAAGTGCATTTGGGGCTTTGTACAGTGCGGAGAGAGCTGGTGAAACAGCAAATTTTGCATCTACAATTGTGCGGGAAGGCACTAGGTTGTGGGGGGGTGGTGGTGGCAGGGTGTAAGGAAGTGTCAGGAGTGATGATGGAGTGGACCAAGGCATCACAGAGGGAACAGTCCCTGTTGAATGCTGACTGTGGAGGGGAGGATCATAAGACATGAGATATAAGAACAGAATTGGATTGTTTGGCCCATCAGATCTGCTCCACCATTTGATTATGGCTGATATGTTTTACAACCTCATTCTCTTGCCTTCTCCATGTAACTCTTGACCCCTTTACTAATCAAGAACTTATCTACTTCTATCCTAAATGACACTCAATGACTTGTCTTTCACAGCTTTCTGCAGCAATGAGTTCCACAGTTCACCACCCTCTGGCTGAAGAAATCCCTACCCACCTCAGTTCTAAAGGGTCATCCGTTTGTTTTCAGGCTATGTCCTCAGGCCTTAGTGTTTCTTATTACTGGAAACATCTTCTCCACATCCACTCTATCCAGACCTCTCAGTATTCTGTAAGTTTCAGTCAGATACTCCCAATCCTTCTAAACTCCACCGAGTACAGACTCAGCGTCCTCAACTGCTCTTCGTATAATAAGCTCTTCGTCCCTGCGATCGTTATTGTAAACCTCCTCCGGACACACTCCAATGCTGGCATGTCCTTCCCTAGGCACAGGCCCGAAACCACTCGCAATACTACAAACATGGTCTGTCAAGAACCTTATGCAGCCTCAGCAGTACATCTCTGTACTGTATTCTAGTCCCCTTGAAATTAATGCTAATATTGCATTTGCCTTCCTTACTGCCAATTGAGCCTTAATGTTAACCTTAACAGAATTAACAACTAAGACTCCCTAATGTCTTTGTGTTTCAGCTTTCCTAAACCTTTTCCCATTTAGCAAATAGTCTATAACTTTTCTTCCTACCAAAGTGCATAACCTCACCCATTTTTACATTGTATTCCATCTGACACTTCTTGGCCAACTCTCCTAGTCTGTCCAAGACTCATTCAGCCTCCCCGCTTCCTCAACATTACCCGTCCCTCCACCTATCTTTGCGACACCTGAAAACTTACCAACAATATCCTCAGTTCTTTTATCCAGGTCGTTAATGTACAACGTGAATAGTTGTGGTCCCAACATGGATCCCTGCAGAACTCCATTAGTCACTGGCTGCCATTCTGAAAAAGCTCCCTTCTGCCAGTCAGCCAACCCTCTAACCAAGCCAATACCTTGCCCTTTACCATGAACTATCTTATACAGCAACTACCTATGAGGCACCTTGTCAAAGACCTTCTGGAAATCCAAATAGATTATGTCCTTTGGCTCACCTTTGCCTAATTTTCTTGTTACCTTTTCAAAGAATTCCAAAAGATTTGACAGGCATGACAGTCCTCTGATGAAGCTGTGCAGACTCAGCCCTATTTTACCATGCACTTCCAAGTATTCCGCAATCTCCTCCTTAATGATAAACTCTAAAATCTTATCAACAACCCAGGTCAGGCTAACTGGCCCATTGTTTCCTATCTTCTGCCTTCCCCCTTTCTTAAACAGGGGTGTAACATTACACTTGGTGGTGGGATTCTGCTGGAGGTGGTGGAAATGGCAGAAAATGAGCTTTTAAATGCAGAGACCAGTAGGTTAGAAAGTGAGGACAAGGACCTAT